TCACTCCAGTGGGCCTGCATTCAAACCTTCAAAACTCTGGCCAGACTCATGACTATTCCCAGTTGAGACTTTAATTAAATGGTGTTGGATATGAGAGTATTCTATTATACTGGCTTGTGCTGCTGAAAGAAATAGAGCCATGCTTCTTGATTGAAGAGACAGTCAAGTGAATAATTCACAACAAATAATTAGTCTAAATGTTTCTAAGTGATTCTTACAGAATCGGAGTCTGGTTGAGAAAGATCCCTATTTATTAATGGCACAGGACTCCTTTTCACAAGGGGAAAGTTTATTTGTATAAGATGAATGAGTTAAAGCATAGACTTGCAAGTTCTTCTTGAGTCATCAGACCCAGAAAACATGTATTTTATATTAAGGTTAGTACAATCTTTCAAACAAAAACATTTATGAGTGTGCTTGAACTGATGGGTATATGATGACTGACATTCCAGAACCTCTTCTGCGCACACCTACGCTGGCATACTTTTATACATAGGAGTAATCCTAATTAATTTGGGAAAATTACTCCTGTGCATGAATGTATTCATTAGTATTTGAAACACCATGGTATGGTGAGTCTTCTAGATACAATCTGGATCTTACACTTAAAGGTGCCCACAACGTCCCATCCGGTCTTTAGGGCTACCTTAGCTCTAGTAAGAACAGAGTCCTTCCCCTGAGGGCTTTAGCATGGCTAAATTCTCTTCCTTACAAAGAAGTGGCCTCATCTGTGCTGTCTAGAGGGAACTGTCCTTTGTGTTATCTCCTGAACAGAGGCCTCTGTGTGGCATGAGAAAGTAGTGGGTTAGAGGCACAGCCCTTGTCAGGAAGCTTGTTGCTGGTTAAATAGTGTGGACAATCACATGCCAGCTTCTTGATGGCATGTTCTGGCTCTTTTTAGTTGGCAAGTGCAAAATACAACTTAAATGAATTTTTATGTTCATTTTACACCTTGAAGCTTTGATAAGGTATTATTGCTCCCTTCTGCTCTTGACAGGAAAGAGTAGCACTGTTGTTCCCTTCAGCAGTGTATTTTTGGGGGTGTGTTGGCTGGGTTTCTGTCCCAGTGATGCTGAAGAGTTTTGCCCAAGAACATTGCAGGGAAACAGTCTTTTTCTGCGTGTTGTGAGTCTTCCTTTCCAGAGGTAAGATTTAATGCAGCCTAAATACATATTTTTTTTAATATAAACACCATTTCAGTTTGTTACAAGGAAACTATTGGCTAAGGTATTAAAGTGTTCAAAAATTATAGCATTAGGAAGAGTGGTTTTATTTTAAACAGCGGAGAACACTGATAATTTCACAGGCAACAAGAAAATAAAGCCAAAGAACCAAAGACATAATAGTTAGCTTGAACTGAAAATTTGTACCTTTAAGGATTTCTGAATATGTATATTCTGCTTTGCAGATAGTGGTTTCTCAGTGCCGCTGCCTGAAATTTTAAATGCCTGCATGTGTCGTCACATCAGGGAATTGTTTCAATCTCATCCCAAAACAGGTGACTGTAGTACATGAAGTGACTGTCACCCTGTAGTGCCTATTTCTGTTAGCTGAAAGGAAGCCTGAGGCTTCCCAGGTGACCACCTGGGATGTACTACAGAGCTCCGAAAAGCATTTAAGGTGAATTCCAGTCTGCCTGTCTTCTCTTAGAAAGCACCTAAAATGGAGGCTCTGGTTTTGAGATACTCTGCTCATTTATTAATACTATTTATTAAGATGTTATTTATATAAGGTAATTATTGTGTAAAGAAAAGGTGTTTTCATCATTAAATCAAACTTCATCCTGATGTTAAGATAGGATTTCACATATTGATCTAGACAAAAACATTGTGTAAGGTGGAAGGGATTGCCCCTCAAAATTTATTTGCTGCTGAAAAGCTGCACACTGTGTTCCACCTCAAGAATTGCAGGTATTTTCTTCCTTTACCTGGCTGCCACTTGCTTATAGTCCATTCTGATACAACTTGTGCAGAAGAATGTTTCCCATTAGGCTATTTTGTAACATCTTTCTGTGAAATGTTTGAACATCAGTGCTTGCTCCAGGAAAAGGTGAGTTAAGACGTGTTTTTATGTGTTCTGATAGCTGCCTTGCTTCATCAATGCTAAAAAGCATGTCTTTATTGAGTCTGAGCACTTTCCAAAAGTGTTCTCCCTGCCATTACTGATGTGTTGCTTAACAGAGCCAGCTTAAGCTTGCTGCAGTGAGTTTTGTGTTGTTTGTGTTGCACTGGTTGGTTACCTCTTTCTGTTAACTTTCCATGCACAATTTAATTAAGCTGTGAATAATGGGATGTGTTATCAGATGGTACAGCATTATTAACTTCAGTGAAGTGTTGTGTGATGAACCAGCTAAAGATCTGGAGAATAATTTATACATTCTTTACATTTAACTGTCAGTGCATTTGGGATGAAGATAGCTACACAGCGTGTGTGATTGCAGCCCTGCTGCTGAAAGAGGTGTGTCTGTTTATGCCAGTAAAGTGCTTGACTGTTGGTATAAATATAATGTCATGGTAATTACTGGTTATAGATAAAATGAAGATCAAACCTTTCTTTTTTTTTTTTTTTTTAAAAAAAAAAAAAAAATCCAGAATGCTTTTATTGTCCTTGAAACATTCTTCCTTTTCGTATAAATAACAAAGAGTATGAGATTTCAGAGTTAGAAAAATGAGTGAAACAAGTCATAATGATTAATTTCTGCGAATATTTTTCTATGCATTAATTGCCCATGCATTGTGAATGATATTCTCAGGTGCCCTTCTGTACAAATTATTCATGACTTATTTTAGCTAAAAATCAATAACAACCAAAGAAACCCTTTATACTGTCTGTAGTGTGCATACTTGCTATTTGTATAAGCAAAATGGTGTGGTTTCTTTCCTCTGATTAGATAAATTGTGGACCAAATTAATCCAATGCATATGTGAATAATAGGGAAAATTAGAAATATGCCAACAATATCTAGTTTAATGTTGTTTTTCTTAAGTATCTGAAAATTTAAATAAGTCTAGTCTGATTTCTTGCTAAAGCAAATAAAATATACATTTCAATAGAAATTAAACTGCTCACAAGTGTTTTCAGATGGAAGTTGGCTTTCAACAGCAAATGGTAATGCAAAGTTTTCCTCCTCTTTTCAGTTCATGCTTCTGGTTGAAAGGTGTTCGCAGTGTGACACAACATGTTGTGACTCCTCAGCAAAATGTTGCAATTCGTATTGGTCAAAGTATGTAGTGTTTCAGAGCAGTGCATAATTTGTGATTGCAACAATCTCAAATAGAGTACATAAAATGTGTTCAGTGTTTCCATCTCATTCATAATTTTGACTCAGCAGTTCCAGCTGATTATTAGTAGTTTCTCCAACCAGCCTGGATTGGCTAAGGGAATTCACTTTAACATACTGAAGTGTTTTCATTAAACTTGGCCTATGTAAAAGCAGCTTTCTAAATTGGATTCACTGAACTAATCTTGGTGCCTTTGCCATTGTGTATTGCATCAAGCAACAAAATAAGCAAGAAACAACGTGGTAAAAAATATTATTTAAACTGGAAGTGAGGCAGAATTCATTAGACGGAGAATATGGACCATACTCATTATAGGATTTGCTAATGCTCATAAGTTCTTCAAACTAAATTTAATGTATGCAAATCATTATTTATGAGCAGTTATTATCAACAATACTAATAACTTCAATAGTACTAATAATAGCTATCTGGGCTAATTAACTGTTTTAAATTGAATTTTGTAATATTTGCAATTTTCTCACTTTTATGGGAACTAAATAAAATCAGCTCCATTGCTTAACACAAAACTCCATTTCATACAGGACAATTCTCGTTTCGGAGACACATTTTGAAGCAGAATAAAGTGGTGGTTAAGAAAGCTCCTGCTTGTGCCAGCAAAAGAGATAGAGGAATAAATTCAACATCAATTCACTGAGCATTTTTTGCTCTGTTAGTATGAAACCAGTTCATTCTGGTGAAGCGCAGAAGGCTCACTTGAGAGTTTTGTTCTGGAAACACCCTGTTTAGATGGTTTCAAATGGTGTGGGAGAATGCTCTTCTTGTGTTGGTTCTTTTCTGTTTTTCTGGTTAGAAAGAAAATGATTTTATGTCCTCTAGGTAGTTGTTTGGGTTATTTGTTATTCTTTCCTGCTTATGAGGGGAGGGAAAAAAAAGAGAAGAAAAATTTTACATAGCTATAAACAGAAAGTAGAAAGCAAGTTGATAGGAGCATGAAAAAGGGGATCTCCTAGCTTTTACAATGACCTCTTCAAAATGGCTTAAGGATGGCAAGAGTGTGTGTTAGTCTGCAGATTCCATGAGACCTTGTTCTATTTGAGCAGTGTGGTACCACTTATATGAACCCTATGTAAGGCATAAAAATAAGTGTTAATGATAGCAATGCAGATAATATTGCTTCTTATAAATAATAATTAATGCTAATTAATGTTGACTCTATATATTGTGGCTTGGATGAAACTCTGGCAGGAATTGGCAGACATGCTGATATGAAATCTCCACCCACAAAGATCTGCTGAAAGAGCAGTATCTGGTGTAAGGGGACCTGCCCTTTTAAGTGCAAAGAATACAAAGGTTTTCTAATTGTTTTTCCTTTTGCAGGGAAAACAAGCTTCTAGCTTTAGAGTCGGTCTGCATACCCATCTCCAGGGGCCACAGACGTGGAACAAATGCAAGATCAGCTCATGTTCCCTATGTAAGCTTATAAGCAGTGTTGCATGTTCACTGGAAATAGCACATGTAATGCAGTTTTCTCCGATAGGACTGGCCCCTTCCCAAGCAATGTAGATGCCACTGCCTTTGTTGAGGACAGGCGATGCCCTTTCCCAGATTGGGTGGGAGGCTGCTGAGCCATGCTGCTGTGTGGCTGGTCCACAAGGTGCAGGAAGGCTGGCTACACAAACTGGTGCCAACAGGGAGGCTGACGCCTCCTCACTAGGCTTTGGTAAATCAGTATCTGCATGTGTGTCCGCACATATGCATACTATTTTCCCTCCGCCACTTCCCTCCCACTCTGAGCTGCCTTCCTCCCCACACTGCCCTTGAGTCAAGAGGTCAGGGCTACCACTTCTTTTTTCAGCAGTAACGCTTTTCCTTCTGTGTTTTATCCTCTAGTTGTTACTTTCCTTCCTTCCAGTGGAGGGGCAGCAAGAGCCATTTGGCTGATACGATGTTTTTCTGGGAAGGAAAGGATAAGACTTAAAAAAACCAGGATGCCTTCAGGCAAAATGTGATTTTTCAATCAAAATTCTTTTTCTTAAGGGAGGGGATTTTTCTCACAAGGGAGAGAATTTGCCCCAACAGAGCAGTTTTACCCACACTCCTCTGAGACACAGCGTCTGTGTGCTGTCAGTGTCAGGGAGGATCAGGCACAGAACGACCCATTGCCATCATAAAACAATCCAGCTTCCCAGAGGGAGAGGAAGAGAAAGGGGTTGCGTGTGGCCTTGAAAACCAGAAGGAAAAGGAGAAGAGGAAGTGCCTGGTTGTTCCTGTCTTGGTGGGGAGCGTTGTGGGGTCCCTGGCGACTGTGTGACCAGCAAACACCCTTGCTGAGAACTGCAGACCAGGCCATTTGCAAGAGCAGCTCCGTGCCTGCAGCAGCTGCGTCTTGTGGGGGGGTAAATGCTAGAGAAGAGCTGGGCCTGTGGAGCTGTGTTAACTGGCATTTCAAAGGTGAGATACTCTGTTTTCTTGTTTGTTTATTTGCTTCCCACTGGGGGATCAGTTATATGTTGAGATGGCTTGACTTGATACACACCTCCTTAGCAGATATGTTGATTCAATGTTTAAGGGATCATGTTTCTTTGTGGTGCAGAGTTATTTAATCCAATATTTGTGGTAGGCTGATGACACTTGTGATGATCAAAAATAATAAATTGTGTATTTTTTTAAGACTGTGTTAAACCAGTTCTGCCAAAATAGAGATAATAAATACCAGTAATTGTTTAGTCAGTTGAAAAGGAATAATCCCCCACAATTTTTGAAACATAGTAGGTGATGTTTTGGTTGAATGTTTATGAAGAACCTATACTTACCTCTACATTTCTGAAGTTGGGCAGAGAGTACTGTACTTGTTTTGTAAAAACTGGATTATTGTTTGAAAACCTGGCCTATTTCCCTGATCATGACAAGGAATGTCTGCAAGAAGTAGACTAACTTTAGATGTTCAGATTTCATCTGCTGAACTGCTCTGGTGGGAGTGAAATGCTAGGATAGCAAAGGTAGACTACACCTTACTTCTTAAGCTGAGGAAGCTGCTAGGAAGGTGGGCAGGGATCAGGGAGATGGCACAGGTTCTGCTGGTTGGTGGAAATCCTAACATAGCAGCTCGGAACTGATCTTCCTTAACATTTTCCTCAATGCCTTGGGTGTAGAAGGTTGGAGCTGACTTATGAAATCCTCTGCTGACACAAGACAAGGAAGCATTGTCAAGGTAGAGATAATGTCCAGTACTTCCCATACAGGGAGTGTGAGGGCGGGAACAATAAAAACAGACTAAATGTTTAATAACTGAAGGCTTCTGCCTTTAGTGGAAATGTTTGTTCCCTAGAAGAAAATGCAGCACAAAGTGGGAAAGAAAGTGGCAGAGAAAGATTTGCATGCACTAATTGACTACAAAATAACTGTAATCTTCTGGTGCAATCTGGGAAGAGCCAAATGGAAACAGTGGCCATTAATGGATTAGGTTTGCAATTAGGAGGTGACTAAAAATGAGATTCTATTATGATCTTACAGCTGGAGTAGGAAGAGCAGCAAACCTAACTGGATCTTTTTGAACTGATGAACAGGGCTCTTGATTCAGAAATTAACAGTATCAGTGTTAGTATAATGGCACAGGGCTAACACAGGCCTAATTTTCAATCAAAAAGCCGTGTGCTTTATTTAGCTGTATAGTGCATAGAGAATGGGAAATTACTGTAGACATTGCTGATTAAAAGTCTGAAATCCAATAAATTTTAATATTGAATGATGATGATGTACCATTTTATTCATCTTAATTTTCATTAATTTCTCCATGTATGACATATTTTAGACTTCATGGAACTCATTACTTATAATTGGTCTTGTGTCAACAAGCCGCGAAGATCAGGCTGTCTGCCTCCACTGACGGTTGGCTTAATTTAGTAATAGTACTTAGCAGATATGTAGGGCTTTAAAATTTCAAATATTAGCTAATTAGTCATCAGACCAATTGCTTTAAATACTATCAGCCTTCTATAAAGATGAGTAAATTGTTGTTATCCATATTTCTGAGATGAGGAAATTCAGAGACAGATGGGCTGGTTATGTCCGTGTCCGTATTTATATATAGGTACTTCAAAGGCACGTATCGTTTCAGGGTCCAGCAAGTCCATCTACTTGTTAGACCTGATTTGGTGTCCACTGGAGCCAATGGAAATACATCTATCAGCTTCAAAGAATTCCCTTGCTGTCTGATTGAATTACCCTGCAGAAGTCAGCTTCCAAATATTAGCCAGCTAGTATGGTACGCTTTGAGATGGATTGTGATGAAAAGCACCTCTGCTCTGTCAGTCAGAACATTTACTGTGGTTGTAGGGGACAAAGAAGCACCAAAAATGATGAGGTCTGCTCAGCACCCAGTGAGCCCTAGAGGTGAGACTCCGTGAGGGCTCTGTTTTCTAGAAAAATAATAGAAGAGCTTGAAAATATTGATTATAAAATAATGAGATTTTCACGTGTTCCTGAGCAAGTTTCACCTGCTGATTTTTGGAAGAAGTAACCAGGTACTTTGATAGTCTCAACATATATTTCTCAGTCTATTCAGACATCCAGATGACTTTAAAAAAACCTATCCCTACACTTCAGTGCTATGTGGGAGTTAAAACTTACATAGATATGTCTGTTGACCTTTTCCTGAAAACTCTAAAATTCAGCAATGTTGTTTTTTTTACATTGCTTTTCAAAACTTGAAGTTCCATGAAGAAGAGAAAAGGAAAAGGAAGAGAAAAAAATCTTAACCTCAAGTGTAAAGCAGAAAGATCACAGAAATCCTTAACGATGTGGCCAGCACCTCAGTAATGTCACCTAAATGTGACATACCTAGTCAAAGTTTGACCAGTTATGTGCAGTCTTATGGTTCAGTTGTGTTCCTTGAAAGATGGAAATAACCCTTCACAAATTCAGGATCATGTTGTCACATGTATTAATTCAGAGTTCTCATTCCTTGAGCATTTACTATGCTTTACATAAGAATTACTGCTTTCTGCAAATGTTCCTGCCCTCAAACTTATTAGGATTTGTGACAGAAAGCATAAAACGAGTAAAACCATATGGAAAATGTGCTTTTATAAAAATACATTATTTAATTCCTTTTGATGTTAGCATTTACTTGATCCTAGTAGTCAATAGTACAATATAGCCCAAGCTTTGGAAGATGAGCTTAGAGTGGGAAACCAGCACAGAGAGCATTTTCTTCACTGTCCTGCCACATGCTGCTAAATATATGCTTCTTTTGCCTGCCTTCTCAGCCAGGAATGTCTCAGTATATGGGAAATATCACAAGAACAAGAACATACAGAACAAGTACTCTCTCTGAGTGCAAGCCCTATGCTGTGCTCCCAAACAAAGCTTTTCATGTTTTTAATTTTCTGCTCAGCAGCAATTGGGAAATGACAGATGCTCTAAGGGAGACCCCTCCTTAGGTTTATTTCTGGAAAGGAAAAATGATGAGAAAGAGTCTTGTTCCTCCACGTGCCTCAAGGTGTCAGATATTATTGGGGAATTGCAGTCAAACCAGTGTGTTTACAGCAGATCAAAGAGGTGAAATGAGCCAGAGATAAGGGCTGATGAACCAAACCCCCACCTGCTGCTGGCGTGTTGGCTGCACGTGTTGTTGGGCTTTACACTCAGCAGCGTGGGATCGATACTGATGCAGCAACATGGTAGATCTTGTGCTCAGCTTCTGTTTTCAGGTAAACTCCAGCATGTGAGGGGTTGTTTCTTTCTGACCTTTCTGAACTTGGAACAGAATATTATGGAGTCATGGAATGGCTTGGGTTGGAAGGGATCTTAAAGATCATCTAGTTTCAACCTTACTGCCATGGGGAGGGACACCTTCCACTAAACCAGGTAGCTCAAATCTTCATCCAGCCTGTCCTTGAACACTTCAAGAGGTGGGGCATCCACAACTTCTCTGGACAATCTGTTGCAGTGCTTTGCCACCTTCTCAGTAAAGAGTTTTACCCCAGTATCTAATCTTTAAACCTGCTCTCTTTAATTTTGAAGTCATTCCCCCTTGTCCTGTCACTACATGCTCTTGTAAAAAGTCCCTCTCCATCAGTCTTGTAGCTCCCTTCAGGTACTGGAGGCTGCAATCAGGTCACCCCAACTCTAGGCTGAAAAATCCCAATTCTCTTAGGCTTTATTCTCAATAGAGGTGTTTCATCCCTGTGGTCATCTTCGTGGCTCTTCTTTGGACTGTCTCCAGCAGGTCTCTGTCTTTCCTGTGCTGAGGCCCCAGAGTTGGATGCAGGGTTCCAGGTGGGTCTCACTGGATGCAGGGTTCCAGGTGGGTCTCACCAGAGCAGAGGGACAGAATCCCCTCCCTCCCCTGCTGCCCACACTGCCTTTGATACAGCCCAGGGCACGTTTGGCTTTCTGGGCTGTGAGTGCACACTGCTGGGTGATGTCCAGCCTCTCATCCCCCAGCACCCCCAAGGCCTTCTCAGCAGAGCTGCTCTGGAGCTGCTCATGCCCCAGGCTGTGTCATTACTAGGGTTGCCCTGACCCAGATGCAGGATCTTGCACCTGGTTTTGTTAAACCATGGTTCCCATGGGCTCTCTTTTTGAGTTTGTCCAAGTCCCTCTGGGTTTGCATCCATTTCATCCTTAGGGCGTGTCAGTTGCACCACCAAGCTTGGTGTCATCTGCAAACTTGCTGAGGGTGCACTTGATCCTTCTGACGATGTAATTTGTGAAGATATTAAACAGCAGTGATCCCAATATAGACCCCTAAGGGACACCACTTGTCACTGATGTCCTTTGGGACTCTGGGCCACCTGGATGTGACTGGGAAACCAATTCTTTATCCACCTAACAGTCCACTTGTTGAATCCACCTCTCTCCAATTTAGAGATGAATTCTGGTTAGCTACACCTACCAAAAAATAAATCTGAATTGGACCCAGGATTTGTATGGCCACTGGCACCAGCCTCCAGCATGGGAGCAGAGGAGGGCCTGGATCTCCTTACCAGGATGACTGCTTGCTCTCCAGAGCAGCTCCTTTCCCTGTTTCCTTTTACTTCTTGCTGTGATGTTCCTGTTTCTTGGTTGGTGTTCCAGAGGAGACTGCGCAGTTCAGGAAATTCAAGATGGAAGATGTTTTATTTTGTGTCTGATAGAAAAGCTGCAGCTATGGTCTGCCACTATGCTGGGAGTTTTATTTGCTGTATTGCCACTTCTATCCCTGTTTTCCTTGTTCTCAGCCCTGGAGGGGAGATACCCCTTAATCATTTTGGGTCCACTTGACTCCCAAATTTCTCCACATACCTTTATATTCTTTCCTTGTAGCTTATATCTGTTTAAGTACATTTGTCTGATTGTCTTGGAAATAAATTAAATCAAGATTTCCTTTCCTCAGTCCTCCATTCTGCCTTTTTTTTAGCTGTGTGGGATTTGTTCCTCCTCACGTATTTTCTCCATTAGCAATGTTG